GAATTCTGGGAGTTGAAATCCACACACCTTAGAGTTTCTAAGGTTGAGAAACACTGGATTAGATTGAAAAGGAAGGATTTTTTCCTACGCTTTTTTATGCCAGTGTCTACTTACTCAAGATAATTTTCTGGATAGTCTGAAGCTCAACTTGGAAATCTGAATTTTGAACACTTTGATTACTGCTGCCTGGTGGAATTTGTATTTACTTGCTGTTTTTCCATCCCTAGAACACTTAAGGGAACAGGTATAAATAACCAGTTAGAAATGCCTAAGTTAGTTAAACAGGTGCCACCAAATTGGATTCAACTCCTGTGGCTGCATGGACAAATGCTTGTCATCTTACCTCTGTCAAGTAATAAGTCTTTGTTCTTCCATTGGCATTCCAGTACTTTGTTTGACCCTACCCATTGTCTTCAACTTCTTTTGTCTTCCACAATATTGCCAAGCAGCATATTTTTTTCTAGTTCATCATCTGCTTGCATGACATGTCCAAAATATGTGAGTTCTGTTCACTGATCATCACTTCAAGGGAGCAGTCAACCTTTATTTGGACTAGGACCAATTGACTGGTTCTTCTTGTAGCCCACTGTGCACTTAGAAGCCATCTCTAAATCCATAATGCATAGCATCTATGTTTTTTTTCTCTTGCTATTTCTCAATGTCCAGCTTTCACAACCATACATTGCCATGGAAAAAGACTCTTAGTTTAACTCTTCTGATCCTTGTCACTGAAATGTCCTTATTTTTAGAATCTTGTCTATGTTTGTCATTGCCTTTCTCTCTAAGATTATCTCTTTATTTCTCCAGTATCCTGGAGAATCAATATCTACTTTAGAGACTAAAATAAAACTATTAACCACATTCACCGTTTTGCTATTAACTGTAAATTCACTAAGCATGCAAGTTGACTTTAACCTTCCCTTCTTAGCTTTTAACATGGTCAGTTTTTCACTTTCCATTTTTATTTTCATCATGAGCTCTTTTAAATCTTCTTTATTTTCAGGTAGCAAAGTAGTATTGTCTGCATATCTCAAGTCCTCCAATTTTGATTCCAGGTAGCATCCTGCTTCTGTCATTCTTATAATATATTTGCTGAATGTTCATCAGATGCAGGGACAATACACATCCTTGTGTCATTTTAGTATTTTTCTTTACTATATGCTTATATCTCTAAGCAGTAAGCACAGAACAAGACCTGTTTTGCCCCCACAACCACAATCCTGGTTAGGCTGAGAGAGAAATCTGGCCCAAAGTCCCTCAGGGAGGTTCCATAGAACCGTGACCTCTCCGCTCCTAGTCCAACACTTTAATCCATGTTGGCTTCTCTCTCTCTCTCTCTCTCTCTCTCATCCTCTCTCTCTCTCTCTCTCTCTCTCTCTCTCTCTCTCTCTCTCGTTCCTTATTATGAACTACTCTGTTTGTCCACATTCAATTTTTATTACTAATTTCATGCACTGTAGAGATCTCTCTTCAGAAAATCAGGTGTTCTGGCACACCCATTGGTAAATCTATACACCTTGGGATAAAGTTTGAATGTTTAATCATTAACTGAAATACAGGTAAAAGGGAAAGCATTAGCATGCTTTAGTTGGGAAGAGGCTGCCATGGCATCTGCAGGTCTTGTCAATGAATTTAGAAATGAAGAAATTACTTGTTCCCTCTGCCAGGACTATTTCAAAGATCCGGTCATTATTGTGGAATGTGGGCACAGCTTCTGCCAAGGTTGCCTCGGCCAATATTACATGGAGTTTGGCAACATTATTTCTTGCCCTCAGTGTAGAAAACTAATTCTGGAAAGGAATTTCAGGCCAAATCGGAAACTGGATAAAGATGTAGAAGAAGCCATAAACCAACATGAGAGAAAAAGAGAAAAAATGGAGAAGGGATTGAGTGAAAGGCATCAGGAGCCTTTGAAGCTCTTCTGCAAACAAGAAAAGGTTTTCTGCTGTGCACACTGTGAGATGTCCAAGAAGCATGAAGATTACAAGATGGCTCCAGCTGAGGTTGCTCTTCAGGACTATGAGGTAGGAATCACCACAGAGGAGAGGGAGAGAAAATTCATCTGCAGAAGGGTTGGGATTAGCAGATCTAGATAAATCTGTTTCATTTGTATTTTCATTTCAATGTCCTGTTTTCCAGTCTGTCAGGTTTCCAGATGGGTTTTTTTTTTTCCAAAATCCAATTCACCAGGTCAGATCTGAGGACAGAAGGGACTTCTGCTTAAATAAGAAGCTATATGAGATGGTCGGGAGGCATACCCTTCTCTTAAACCTATAAAAACATGTCAGATTTTTTACAATGTTAAAAAAAAATGTTTTTCTCTTGGGTTTGCTGGAGCCATGACACATAATGATTCCTGGATAGGATCATATGATGGATCCAGGACATGCTGGGGGAAAAACACTACATTAAAGAGTCTGGTGCTGCTACAACCATATAAAAAGAGATAAGGAAGGTGTTTCTCAACTATCCTCCTCTAACTTTCATGAATTGGGAGGAGGGATGTGCAAGTTGGACCCAAGTAGAATTTCATTCTTGTTAGCATTTGTTCTACCCAGAATTCTAAGGGAGCACAACATACAAATTTGCAAATTCACCCCTACTAGGTTTCTGGGTGGACCATTTCAATCCCTACAAATAATTCACTTCTCCATACTGAGTTGCAGCCATTTCCCAACAAGAAAGCTAGATTCTCACAGAGTCTTATTAACTAACTTTATGGAAAGGAAAAAAAAGGAATTAGGTTACAGAATCTTGGAAACTAGATGTATGTGCTTTAGGGGCCTGTCCACCAGTCATTTTGTTAGGGCGGAGATTCTACAGACTACCTGTTGAAGCAGGAGGAAGGAATGTGCAGATGCTCCAGTCCTGTAATATTTGGCAAACTACACTTCCTTTCTCAGGCTGCATGAGTCAGTAGAATGCACGCATCTCCTAGTTGGTGGGAGGTGGACAACAGTATATTCTTTCAGGTAGTCTCTAGTTTTGAGATTATAGCTTGCATTGTATGGCCATATGTCAAGTAAAACCAGACTTTGGTTGCACCTCCAGCATCCTGGCCCATATGTGCCCACATTGAGTAGTTCCATTCTTATCATTAGCAGGGAATGTTGCATGTAACCCAGGTTAGAAAAGTGGGTGGTTCAGGGAAAGAAGAATAATGCCACTGGCCAAATTCAAACCAAGGACTGTTAGTGTAGGAGACCCATGTAATAGCCACTATACTATTGAAATACTACTGTAGTAGCCAAGTTTAGGGAATCAACCTGTGAAAATGCAAGAAAGAAATGTTATTTTAAAGATGATTGCTGTCCATGCCTACAGGTGCTTTTCATTGCTTCCACTTCCTAACAGATTTATGTTTCTCCAAAAGCATGTGTAAGTCATGTTTTCCTGCCCTCCAGGAAAGGTGGGTGGCTCATTCTCACACTGGGGCAGGCAGGAAGTGCTGATCTGTCCTCAAGCTTGATAATCTAGTCTACACCTTCCCTGTCTTACTGAAAATCATTATGTGACCAGAGCCATGATGATGGAGAGGCCAAGACTGATGGGCCCCTCGGGTGACAGCCACAGCATGTGGAAGATTTCAGTTTGAAATGTAAGAGGAGTAAACAGTAAAGAGCTTGAATTAAGTTAATTAAGAAAAATGTACAGAAAAGTGCAAGAAATTAAGAAATTAACCCCCTTGATATTCACTCCCTCCCCCCAATCTGAACACCTTTCATTAATAGGGACTGAACATGTCTTATCACCAGTAGACAATTCTTTTTTTAAGCTGATTATAAAGAGTTGTCTGGCTGCTGGTCACACAAACTAGCAAAGCCATGAAGATATATCTTTCTAGTTCTAAAGTCTAGAACAGTGTTTCCCAACCACAGCAATTTCCAGGTATGTGAACTTATTGTCCCAGGAAATGTCTGAGTTCATGGACTTGGCGTACCACACCCAATGAAACACACAAGGTGGAAATCTCTTTTTAATAACTTTATTCTGCAGAGTAAAGGACACTTGCAAAATAGCTTTCAAGGCAAGCGCCCCGCTGCATGCAAATCATTGGGTTTTTAAACAGCTGCAATCAGAAAATCATTACATCATAGGTTAATACAATTGTATTGGTAAACACAGTTAAAACACACCTAAAAAGGTGGGTACTAATGCCCAGAGGGTGGGCACTGGTTGTTGCTAAGGGGAATATGAGAAGCTAGCCAGTCCCTTATCTCTATAGGTTAGAAATGCTGCCTTCTGTTCTCCACTTATTACTTTCACTTTTCGCTGTAGCTGATAAAGTTTGGAATTCAGAAGGAAAAGAATGTTAACAAGATCTGCAGCTGTAGCCTATTTATTCTACTTTGTTCTGTATCTGCACTGGTTCCAGCAACTAGTGAAAGTCAATTCTGGGGCCATACATAATGTTCTGCTGTCTTCTTCAAATTCACCCTAAAATCACCATTCCATCATTCTTCTACTCCCAGAATTCCTGAGCCTACCTGGCCATTGATGAGAATTCTGGGAGCTGAAGTCCATATACTTGGAAGTTCCCAAAGTTGGAAAACACGGATTAGAAGGAGCCAATAGAAAAAAGAAGGGGAAGTCAATGTAAATGCCAAGAATCAAGGGATTTCTTAATAAAGTTATTAAGTTGTTTTTAAATACTGTATATTTCCAAGGGAAGCCAGGCACAAAAAGAGCTGTGTTCCATGGATGAGGCTACATTACCGGAACAAGATATTATCTGCTCTATTTGCCAAGAAGATCTGAGTGAACCTGTGACTGTGGCCTGTGGCCATAATTTCTGTCAGGACTGCCTCAAAAACTATTGTGATGAAAGAGAAGACCTGCATGAAGAGTTGGGGGAACTAAATTGTCCTATCTGTAGAGTTAAGATCAAAAAAGGGGATTACCAGCCCAACTGCCTGCTGGCAAAGTTCGTAGAAAACAATAAAAAATACAAATTAAATCAAAGGGGAAGGACTCTTTGTGCCAAACATAACGAACCCCTTCTATTGTTCTGCAAAGAAGAAAAGGAGCTGTTATGTGTGATTTGTGAACATTTACCAGAACACAAACATCACTGTGTAGTTCTCCTCAAACCTGCCGCCGAAGAATACCAGGTTGGTAGTCACCTAGCTAGTAAATTTGATCTTCAGTGTTTGATTTCTTGAAAACAGAATGCTAGAGAACTTTGAGAACAACAGCAGGTTCTTAAATCTAGGGGTGTCTGTGCTTTCAGTGCTGAGTAGAAAATGGAATGTGTTCTGTACCTGCTCATAGGCAATTTTATTCTTCTGTGTTAAAAAGAAAATGGACAAACCTTGGTAGATGTCATTCCTGAAGCCAAAGATCTGGATCTGAAGGCTTTTAAGCCTGAATATTCCCAGGCCCCAGCTAAGACACAGCTTCCAGCCATGAGAGATTTCATACTCATGAGGAACACCCTACTCATGAATATAGAATCTCAGGTGGCTGGAAGTCATTACTCACAAGGATTTCTGGCAAGGATTTCCTCATCCGATCATCATTTGAACTTGTTTATTAAGGGCTGAATGTGGTTCCATACCAGGGGAAGAGCTCTTGGGAGGTTAAAGAGAGTAGAAATTTTCCATGCTGCTGCTGATTTGCAGAGGAAATAAATGGTCCCTTCCCATCTTATGAGATTTATATCCCACCTTTATTTTGTAAAGGCAGCATTCCTAATGTTGCATAGGGCCAGATTATTTGAGGGATCATCTCTCTCTGATCTCTGCTGATCTCCATTAGTGTCTGCCTGTCCAGTGAGAATGGGTGCACTCCAGGTCCCTTCAATTAAACAATGACATCTATTGAGATCCAGGAAATGGGTCTTCTCTGTTGCAGCACCTGCCTCTGGAATAGCATTTCCCCAGGAGTTGTACATCTCCCATCCTGATGGTGTTGTAAAAGCTGTTAAACCCTTGGCTTTGCTCCCTGAACTGCCCCTCTCAGTTTCCTTTTGGGGTGTTGTGTCTATTTCGTCTGGATGTTCAGGAATTCTTGTTTTACTGGCTTTTATCTCATTATGCAATTTGGCTGGCGTTGTTGGGAATCAGGTGGCCTCTAAATTCAGTAAAATAAATAATAAAATACGCCCCCGTCTTATTTTTCCTACCACCACCACCTGTGAGGTGGGTTGGGCTGGGAGAAAGCTATTGGCCCAAAGTCGCTCAGCCAACTTCTGTACCTGAAGGAGGATTAGAGCTCACAGTCCCCCGGTTTCTAGTCTAGCACCATAACCACTACCCCAAAGTGGCTCTCTTATGGCTTATGGGAAAATGCAAGAAAGGAACTTTTATTGTAAAGCTGGATGGTATGTGTACATATGTGTGCATTTCGCTGCTTTAAGTTTGTAAATGGCACACAGTGTATGTAAGTAATACACAAAGAGCTATTTTGATTTGTACAGCATGACTGCTACGTTATTAGAAGCACATGTCTCATCACTGAAGAGGATTCCTGGCATGGGTGGGAGGGGTAAAAGAGCTGGGAATCCCCCAATCAGGAGTGGTGCTCACCACAGTCCAGGCAGAACGCCTGGCCTTCACCCTGGCGAACGAGGAGGAACAGACTGAAATCTGGAAAGAGGTTTTCTTCATCCAACTTCATTTCCAGCTGGTTAATGCTTGGGAGACAGCAGTTCAAGGCTGCCAGATGGAAGAGCCCAAGGCTAGTATAAAAGTAACTTATCTGTTTTCAACCTTTTCTTAAAAATCCTGATGCGAGCAAATCAAGCTCAGCAACTAGGCCATTGAAAATCAGTGCTGTTGTGCCCGTGTAGACCAGAGTAATCTTAGGGCAATTCTGTATCGTGGTCTAAATTCCAGTCCAGATTGCAACGGGCCTGGCTGATGCAGGTAGTCCTTGCTTAGCAATCACTCATTCAGTAACCATTATAACAGCACTGAACAAGGAGACTTATGACCAGTCCTTATAGCTGCGACCATTGCAGCATCCCTGCGGTCAGGTGATCACAATTCAGGCACTTGGCAACCAGCATTCAGCCCCATTTTGAGGGCACAAAAATGGGGCTGAATGCAATGTGGAGTCTGCAGGGCATGAGTTGGCTATCTCTGGGTTGAGCAAAAAGAACCATTGATTTGAATAAGAGAGAAGCTTATCATGGTTGAAGAATGGTGGGTGGGTGGGGAAGCTCAGCCTTAGCCACAAATATTGATATCCTGTTACTTTTGCTGTTACCAAATCTTCATAACAAGGCAATGAAGTCCCATGATCATGTATAAGCCTTATAGAAATGCAACATTTTCACTCTCTGTTCTCTATCTTTTTCTACTATAAGAAGAAAAATTAGAAATGTAGAGGAAACCAACCACAGAACCTAGATGCCTATTTTTTAAAAATGAAATGAAAGTGTCCATCAGTTGTTGGTCCTTTTAGATCTTAAAACGAAAACAGAAACAGGCAGGTTTCAAAGAGGCTGATTCTTCTCCTGAGTTAAAGTTTTCTCTGTTTCCAACAGAAAACAATCCAGGAGCATCTGCTGTTGGAGCAGAAACGACTTGAGGCCTTGAAAAGGGAAGACAAGGAAATCAAGAGGATTCTTGTGGGTATTTTGAGTCCCAGTCCATGTATCTGGAGTGAGAGAGTGCCAGCAGATCTATAAGGCATTTAGTTATCATCTGATATATGCATCAAATACATAAGGGCTCAAAGTGGGAACAGGGACAAGTCAACCACGCTAGACATCTCTCATATACGTCCTCTCCATCAAGTCTTTAACTTTGCTTTAATGAAAGTTTAAGTACATTTACTCAAACATGACTTCGCAAACAGAGATGGGCCAAAGAGGATGGGCTGGCCAGCCGTGCTCTGTTCTGTCCCAGCCCCACTCTGAACTTTAATTTGTTTAAGACTATGCAGGTAGTCCTTGCTTAATGACCATTCTTTAGTGACCATCCAAACTTATGATGCTGCTAAAAAGTGACTTATGACCGGTGCCTGAAGTTATGACGGCCACAGCAACCCCACGATCACGTGATTGTGATCCAGGCATTTGGCAACCAGCACACAGTTGCAGTGTCCCAAGGTCATGTGATTACCATTTGTGACCTTCCCCGCCAGGTTCTGGCATGAAAAATCAACAGGGAACCACTTGATTTGCTTTAACGACCACATGATTTGCTTAACAACTGCCACAAAAAATGTCATAAAATCAGGTCACCTGATGTCTCGCTTAACGACTGCCCCACTTAGCGATGAATTTTCTGGTCCTGATTGTGGTCATTAAGCAAGGACTACCTGTAATGGGAAAATCCAACATACTTTTAATATTTGTTCCATATTTTCAGCAGAATCAGATAAAGACATACAAACTGCTTCTATAGGGATAGAAGTTGCCCAGTTTCAGACAAATTTGTCATAAAAGCCCACAAGTATTTTGTGACAGGTATCATTAAGGTCAAGGGACTGCATGACAGTAGATAGCCTGGCTCTAGTTTTAGAGAATGAGGACAAAGGCTGCTTGTATTTTATTTTATTTTATTTTATTTTATTTTATTTTATTTTAT